GTGCTTTTATGTTTGTACCTCCCCCGCAGGGCACTTTCCACAGTCAGCAGGCCTTGGAGTACGGCACCAATTTAGTCGGAGGGATTTCGCCGGGCAAAGGGGGCAAATCTCACTTGGGACTTCCAGTTTTTAATTCCGTCGAGGAGGTAAGATCACGGTGCCTTACGCCAAGCACCGTCTTGTCTTTCTCGTCCTCGCCGCGGTACCTCTACGAGGCAGCTTTTAAAAGGAGTTGCAAACATTGTCAAGACAGCATTTATTGGGTGTTTGAACCCCATCGTGCAAACTCTGTTTAGCTAAAATTGGTTGCGATAGAAGAGAATATTCACAGCTGAGAGAGTTGAACTGTTGGGTTCCTTGGTGCTCTCTGAACTTGGTGGTTTTCTTGCCTGCAGATGTTTTATTACCAAATTAGGGAACATCATCTGTGCTAGAAGAGTGGGGGTTTGTGGAATGGAGAAGAGGAGGAGGAGGAGGCAGAGGACTGTGGGGTCCTTGGTGTTCTCTGAGCTTGTTAAGGTCTGTGCCAAGAACATTTTCCAACAGAGTGAGGACTGTGTGGTTCACTCGAAAGTTGTTAGTTCCTCAGGGTGAAAATTGTTGCCGAACCAGTCTCAAGGATAAAAAGTGGGCAGGGCGTCTGATTGTATAATTACACCCTCCTAACTTGGAATTAGTTATTCAGATTTTAACAGGGCCGTGTGAAGCATTCAGAAGAGGGCTTTGCGAGACACGTTAACGTGAATCAAATTTGTTCAGGTGACCACAACTTTTGCAAAGTTCTCGGGCCGGTGTGACCCCCACCCCCACCCCTCGCAGCTTTCTTTGCCCAGGTGTGCAAACACAGCCACTTGGCCTTGGGTGTGCAGAGGTGGATGCTGAGAGCCAGAGATGGCTTTGAAAGCGGCTAGGCGAATGTCAAAGATGCAGCTATTTTCATGATAACAAAAAGAGGTATTTTGCTTGCAAGATATTACGAATCGTTTCTTTCAAATGCTTTCCAGACCCCCTAGATTTGCAGGAAGCCTTCATGTTATGTTCTGTTTGGTCCTAAAAAAGCTGGTAGGTTAATTTTTTCCCCTCTGTTGCTTTTAACACCCCTGTCTGTGATACAGGACTTAAAGGCAAAAGATAGCACGATCACCAACACTGCGTTTCGGATCAAGAAGTATTCGCGCAGCGCTTCTTGATCTGAACCTTGCAACATTTGTCATTTCCTAACACTATGGAACAAGGGCAGTTAATATAAGGAACCCTGGGGGTGCAGTGGTTAGATTGCAGTACTGCAGGCTAACTCTGTCCATAGTCTGGAGTTCGATCTGACAGGCTCCAGTTCCATCCTTCCGAGGTCAATAAATCGAGGACCCCAATTTTTTTGGAGGCAATATGCTGCATTTGTAAACTACCCACAGAGGGCTGTAAAGCACTATGGGGCTGTATATTGTATAGGTTTTATTGCTATTGCTATAACCCAAAGACTGACTTGGATCAATCCTGTCACGCCATATGCCAGCTGGTGAATCTAGTCCAGGGGTAGGCAAACCTTGGCTCTTTGATGACTTGTGGACTTCAACTCCCAGAATTCCTGAGTCAGCATGGCTGGTTCAGGAATTCCGGGTATTGAAGTCCACAAGTCATCAAAGAGCCAAGGTGGCCTACCCCTGACCTATACCATCTCAGACAAGATGATGCTCAGATATCAATCCGATAGCTCAGGGGTCTTCAAAC